AGAGAAATTAGATTTGATGTGCCATAAACATAAACTAGACACTGGATTTCAGGGACTTAGTAAAGTGTAAAATATCTCAGTTTTTAATATTGATTACATGCTAAATAATAACCTGGATATACTGAGCTAAATGAAAGTTATTGTTAAAGGTACTCTCAGTTGTTTCTTTTACTTTTTAAATGCAGTTACTAGAAAATTTAAATTATGTTTGTTATGTGTATTGTATTTCTTTTGGATATTGCTGTTCTAGACTTTGTGCACATACAAGTACGCCCGTCCTCACTATATAAGACTATATTCTATTTATTGTGGATCTCTTTCCAGTCAGTATACGTAGATCTACATTATTCTTTTTAATGGCTATGAGTCATTAAGAATAGGGGTGGTGGATGTTTAAAGACACTGATGGATCGATACCATAATATGAGAGAAAGGTCAGTGAAAATGGGACTTAATAAGGATAGAAGCAATCAGTTGAGGAATGGGGTGGGTGGTGGCAAATGATTAGTTGTAAGGAAATTAATACTGGTAATTGAAATTCTGAGAGGGTGGTGTGATTTAGAATAAGTGGTTTGAGTTGGGAATTAGGAAAACAAAAGATAATTTAGGGGTATTAGAATCAGTAAAGAACAGGGTAATTGAGGAAAGAGTAGAGAAGGGAGTGATATTGGCCTCTTTCCATATTGTCTTAACAATTTGGATTATATGAAACTGTTTCACAGGGTAAGACCTTTACATTAATGGTCATAGTTTCCCTGAAATTCCATAAATTTGTTTCCTCGGGATTGCAGAAATTCCATGTTGCATTTAATATTGGCAAAGAGACCCACTTGGAGCTTGAGACAGCTCACAGGAGAATCCATTTTTTGTGGTAATTTCAGGGTCTTCCCTGGTGGGGCTCTCAGCACATCTAGGGCCTTGTGTGTGATTGGGAGCCTGAATCCCATGACATGCCATTCTCCTTCCTGCCTGTGACTTAGACTGTGGCTCTGGAGTAGACAGACTGGCCACAGTGGAGAGCCCTGGATCCACTCTTCTTAGTGGGCCCTGTGTGAGAGAGCCATCATTCAGACCACGCAGACCTCAGCGGAGAGCCTGCAGAACATCAGGGCTCAGAGGCGGAAAGCATTCAGATTCTCTTCCCCTAGAGACCTGGCAGGCAGCCAGGCAAAATCTTGAAGCTAGTCCAGCAAATAAACTACATGCTGCTCTCAGGCAGTTAACTCCTTGGCTTCTGAATCCCATCATTGCTGTATTTCTCAGTCTTATTCCTCACGTACTGACTGCCTAGCCTCCCACACACTCGTGATCCCAAGTCCCTCCCTGGAGTTGATGGTTCTTGTGCCCACAAGAGAGTTACACTTTAAACCCCTTGCTGGATAGCGATAAATGAAGCCTTATCAATAATCTACCTGTCTTACTTTTCTCCATGCTTCTCCGATTGATTTTTATGTTAATCATTGCTACTTCTATTCCTGTATTTCTTGATCCTCAGTGTTGTCATCTGGTTGGGAGATTTGAATTATAGACTCTGCATGCCTGATGCTAATGAAGTAAAGAGTCTTATTAAGAATGACCTTCAGAAACTCTTGAAATTGGACCAGGTAAGTAAACTTTCATTTCATAGGCACTGTCCTAGATAGCAGATAAGATTATTAGGTTTATGAAATAAATGCCTGGGAGGTGTGGCTTACTCTAGGAATAGATGGAAAGCTCTTATAGTCTTGGGAAAACCTTGTGAGTGGTGATGTGAATACACACAGGGTTTGTAGTGCTTTCATTAAGTGCTTGGATGGGAGGAGGGGAGAAAATGTTAGTGATTCAAAAGTAAATGTAACACTGATTCATGAAGTCTATATGGAGAAGAGGTTTCAGGCATTTGTATAAGTGAAGGGAAGAATGGGTGGAGTTACTGGAGGACACTTCCTGGAGGAAATAGGGCTGCAGCTCTGCTGATGTGGTTTGGCAGACGGAACAGAAAGCTGCTTCTGTGGTTGCTTGGCAGACTCAGCAACAGCTCTGGAGGTAGGAGAGGGGAGGCCCCTGCAAGGGGGTTGCAAAGTACAGGAGAGGTTTTCTGTGATGAACCCCATGGATTGTGGTCTGAGGGGAACTGATTGGGAAGTTGGGGCTAGGTGGTATATACATCTTACAACCTGGGGGGAAAGCATTGATTCAGTAACATTTATATAAAACTTGATATTCAGGAGCCTAGTTTTCTGTAAATTTGCTTCAGAACCTGGCACCTGACTTTTTACTTCAGCATATGGACACTGGCTGCTAAAAGTGAACATTTCTTATTGAGGAAAGAAAGTATTTTGACTTTATTTTGAATGTCTCTCAGTCCTTATTTGAGCCTTTTTGATCTTCACTCAAAATTCAGGTGTTTTGCAGTAGAATAGGTTTTGCAACGAACCCTTTGTTGACTGTGTCTTCATCCACATTGATGTTGGCTGGCCAGTTTCTTTGCATTTCTTCTATCCTGTCCCCAAAGGTGGTACAGTTGGAATAAATTCTGAGTCTTATGTAATTCTGGCAAAAACACTTGAGAGAAGATAATGTTCAAAGTGATCTGTAACTTCACTGAATTTCACTTTTGGAATTCACTACTCAACATTTATGTCCCTTTTTTAATTAAAATTGTGCTAGATGACTCCTGAATTGATGATTATTCAGTTTTCATTTTCCCATTTTACCCTGACCACTATTAGCCATAAAAAATTGGTGATGTGCTCGTAATGAGTATCCAACCTGAGGGTAAAGTTAAATACTGTGAGGATGACAAGATTTAATTCATAAGGTATAGGCATTTTATTTATGTGTCCTGACAGTTGCAAAGGCTGTGAACTAGATACTTAGAATGACAGGTCAACCTGGTTATTACTTACATTCAGATGGTGTTACCCTGCTGATGTGATGCTGCTTTCTATCTCTAGCTAAATATTCAACGCACTCAGAAAAAAGCTTTTGTCGATTTCATTGAAGGGGAAATCAAGTTTATCCCCACTTACAAGTATGACTCTAAAACAGACCGATGGGATTCCAGGTAAAGTAATAAGAACTTTCTTGTGATTTAGGTTAAGGCCTGATCTTATTTCTGTCCCTCCATATTATTGACGAAAGGCTAGGAATATTTTAGATATAAAAACCTAACAGCTCAATGCTATTACAGAAGAGTTTTAAATTTGTTTGTACCCAAAGGTGAGTTTATCTTCAGGAAGTATTCTATGTCAGGGCTGTTAAGTCTTATGGGCTGCCTGCAGTGTCATATCTATCATCTCAGCCGACTTGTGTAGATTTTTGCCTTCCTGACTTTGTCCATTTTTTACCTATTGCCCTGTTCTGACTCCTTTTTCCAAATTTTTCTCAACTATCCAACTTGGGATACCAGAAGATGAAAACAAAGAGCCACAAAAGGCTCTCTTATCACAGTGGTTCTTAAACCTTGAGTCCACAGTAGAATCTCTTGGGGCACTTATAAAATTATCGATGCCTAAGCTTGACCTCTGCTCCTGTGGAAGAAAGCTGAGAACACACTCTAGGGGGCCCTTTGATTTCCTAAATACCCCCAGTAAAGTGCCCCCCTCAGTATATTCCTGGTATATTTTTCTTCCACCCACTATCTGCTTTTTTTCTCATAGCTTCCTAGCTGGCTGAGCCCAGATTCTTGAGAAAGAAAAAAAGAGGATCCCTGAGCATGTTCAGCTTCTTTAGACTCAGAAAGCATGGGGGAGGGGTGAGGAGCGAGGAGGCTGAGTCCAGGTGCTGCACAGGCACTAGTTGGTCAGCAATTGAAGTGACACTGACAGATCTTGGATACTTTGCCTTATTTCTTCACTCACCTCACTTGAGAGTCAGTCAAAAAGCTACTGATAGGAACTTTGTGTGACTTGCTGGATCAGCTGTACAAGTGCTGCTTATTTTAACAGGGTTTCCCTTACCCTGGTATTTTGTGGGCTATTATATGTTCAGCTTTGCATGCTTAGATCTTAGTTCGTGTCTGTTAGAAGAAGCTAGACTTGTTCATAAAAGTCCACCTCATCTGCAAGATCATCCCAGTCTACAAATACAGGATTAGATTTTTAGATTTTATTAGTTATATATCTGTTGGGAAGTGTCATTCCACTTCACAGAGCAGAGGAATTGTTTTGAATATGATTCTGACCTTCTATGGCTAGCCTAAGAAGGTGCTATTATATTCCCCACTGCCAGGGCAATATTGTTGAAGAGGTAATCCTAATCTTAGAAGTGCTGTTTATTTATTCATTAGATAACTATTCATTGAGCACCAGATGCTGTGCTAGAGGCTGGAAATTTATGGCAAACAAGCAGACACAGTACAATCCCTTCATAGAACTTGCAGTACAATAGGAAGATAATAGTTGGGGTCCTTAGGGAAGGAGAAACATATAACAGGAGGGCCTAACCCACGTCAAAGTCATGTTAGCATTGCGTTCTTCTGTGGTGTGATTTCTGTATAATTTCTTTCTTTATTTGCAGTGGAAAATGTCGGGTTCCAGCCTGGTGTGACCGAATTCTTTGGAGAGGAACAAATGTCAACCAGCTTCATTACCGGAGTCACATGGAACTAAAAACCAGTGACCACAAGCCCGTTAGTGCCCTCTTCGATATTGGGGTAAGCCCCGGGTTGTTCATTTGACTGTTGCTCTATTCTTAGAGCATTATTTAGACTTAAAGCAGGTCAGTAATTCAGTGAGCCATAAGTATTTCCATAACCAAATAATCATTTGCAGCATTGAAAAGTTAGTGTCCTCAACCCTCCTAAATGCTGTCCATATGGCTTTTGATGTGCCGGGCCTTTTAGTGACATCACTGTTTCCCATGCTGCCTAATGGTTGTCTGGTAACCTTAGTCTCCTGAAGTCTTTGTATATAAAGAAGAGCGAGAAGCTAATTTTTTAAAGGATGAGTAGTTTTTCATCAGATAGATAATAAGGAGGAGAAGCACCAAGAAAGAGGTTCTAGGTTGGGGTGGGGACAGTAAGAGCAAAGACATGGACTGGTCATAGTATAACTCTGTACATTTCCTTAAGGCCTAGTATGCCTGCTGTACATAGCCCTTCACCACAGTGAAGTCTTCCTGTCCAGGGGCACAGTTTTAATTTTTTCTTTAATTCTATTGCATCCTGGGCTGAATTATTGGTCAGTTATTTATTTTTTTGTCTCCATCAAGAGTAGGGTTTTTCCACATTGGTTTTCTAGCTGTGTGTTTTTAGTATGCAGGTTGTATCTTGTAATCTTGTACAACTAATACATTTACATTATTATAGATTTTTCAGATCTACTATCATGTAATCTGTCAGAATCTCTATAATGTAGTACTTGATAGGACAGACTGGATAGCTGGACTGCTTAGATTAGCACCCCAGCTCAACCACTTTCTAACTGTAACTATGGAAAAAAGTATGTGATGTGTCTGTGCCTCAGTTTCCTCCTCTATAGAATGGGAATAGTATAGGGGGATTAATGAGATAAGTAAGACATGGGAAGAACAAAATAGGGTAGATTCCTTCCCTCTATGTATCTGTTTATTTATTTATTTATTTTTTTGGTGTCTGAGATAGGATAAGAAGAATGACTTTGGAACATTTCCTTTATGTACAAAATAAGGTTTTAGTCTTAGATGTTCAATTTTATCAAGACAATCATGACAACTTTTGGATTTTGTTTTTCATTTTGTAATTTTAAAATAATAAATAATAGTGTTCACTCACTAATTACTAGTAGCTAATATGTGCCCAGGACTGGGCTAGGCCATTTACACACACTTTATACAGTCCTCACAGCAGTGCTTTGTCTTAAATACTCCTCATTTAACAGATGAACAAATGGAGAACTGATGAGTTAAATAACTAAAAGCATTGAAGAGCTGAACCTCAAACCCTAAGTCAGTTCACCTCCTTTAGGTACTCTTTGTACCACCCCACAGTGCCTCTGTGCTTCCAAAGAATGTGTGGATTAGATACACCTTCAGATAATACTTTTCCTTCTGATTTCTAGTTTGTACTTATGGGCTGCTCTTTTCTTCATTTGAGTTCTCTTAATCCATTTTTAAAAGGATGTCTTTCCCCAAACACTAGTCTTTTTGGTTCAATTAGCTATGTGTGGCTTTTTTGTTTGTATTTCTTTTCCGAACCGTAGAACATTTGTAGTACACCATACCTATTAATCCAGAGCTCCCAGTAGGATATTTAAGAATTCCCCACACTTCCTGTGTATTTTCATGTGTCTTTAATAAAGGTCTGCCTTTTTAAAATTACACAGGAATTAGGGATGTTTTGTCTTTAAATATAACAAACTTTAAGCCAAATTTACAAATAAGGCTGAAGTTCTTCAAACCCTTTTCTGTCCCTCATGCCCACCTTTGCCCAAACCCGCTTTCTCCAGGTAGGCCAGCTACCTTAAGGAATTTATATCTTCCTAGACCAGATGGGCATGTTCCAGATCTGTTCTGTCCAGTACTGGCATAGTAGTTACTAGCGATAAGTAGCTATTGATCACTTGAAGTGTGGCTAGTGCAACTAAGAACTGAATTTTTAATTTTATTTAATTTGAAATAATGTAAATGTCTCTATGTGATGACTGGCTGTTGTGTTCAACAGTGCAGTTCTAGATCTTAGCATACGATCTTCTGTTTACCCATATACAATATAATGTTTATGTATTGGTGTGTGTATATCATAAATGGCCTCTTACTGTATTTATATAATTGGTCTGCAAGTTGCCTTTTTTTTTTTTAATTCAGTGGTACATCTCAGAGAGCTCTCCATGGTGTTACATAAAGATCTCATTGTACTTTTTTCTTAATTCCTAATTTTGTCGATAGTTTGTTTTTCTAAAAAGGATGTATTGGGTGGTGACATTTTATAATGTTCTTCCCCTTGATATGTCGGAAAGGGCTATGATCATGATAACCTACTGAGAAAAGCCTTGATTTTATTGAGTAGCCACCCTATATTTTGGACTCTTGGGTGTGCTATGATTAGAGGCTTTTAAAACCGCATTATAGTTTTACCTCTGTTGGCATCCGTGACTCTTAACAAAGGGAACAAGTGCTCAGTGGCCAATTAACTTCAGAAGACTTGTGGGCTGAATGAGATTAAGCTGAAATAGGATTCCCGCTCCTCCCCTTGGTAATGGGACCTGTTGCCTTGGCTCTGGACATAAGAACTGGCTAGAGGGGTTTTTAAATGTAGATGCACAGGTCCCAGCATTGGCAATCATGATTATTAGGCTGAGACATCTGTGTCTTTAGGAACTAACCCAAGTTCACCCTGTTGCATATCTGGTACTTTGGAAAGAGTCTTACACTCAAGGTCCAGATATCACGTCTGGTATTAGCTGTGGCAAGGAGCAACTTAGTTGATCTTTTTGTATCTTTATATTCTCAGCTAGCAGAAGAAGAATAAATGCTTGCAGTGGTCACCTCACAGCTGATTGTGAAACTCAGATAACATATGTAAAATCTTTTTTTTTTCAAAGTCCTTTTATTTTAAGATTTATTTATTTATTTATTTATTTATTTATTTATTTATTTATTTATTTATTTATACAAGCACTGGGCACAGTCAGAAGCGCGGGAGGGTGAGAGAATTCACCAGAACCAGAGCAGAGAGCAGAAGAGGCAGACTGACAAAGAACACTGCTGAGGGGAGCAGCAGGCCGCAGGAGAGGTCTGCGCACCATGTGGGACCCTCGCCCGTCAGCCGGGGATCGAACCAGCGCTGCAGAGGCTGTGGGCAGCTTTGCAAACCAGCACTCAACCGCTGTGCCACCGGGGAGGCACTATGTAAAATCTTTTTAAAATAGTTGCAAAATTTTGAAAAGTATAAAATCTCTTAACACTGTAGTACAAACCCCTGTAACACTAGTGATAGCTGACCCTCAGTTCTCTCAGCAAGTGCTTCTCCTGTCTTGAGATGTTTGGCTCCACTTTTACATTCTTTCTTTCCACATTTGCTGTAGAACCTCTACTGTGTACATTAGCCTTTATTTTTACATTGAATTTTCAAAGTTTTCTATTCTAAAAAGAAACTGGTATCGGGCCTCCCCTGGTGGCGCAGCGGTTGAGCGCTGGGCTGCGAAGCTGCCCGCAGCCTCTACAGCGCCAGTTCGATCCCCGGCTGCCGGCAAGCGTTCCACATGGCATGCAGACTTCTCCTGCCGCGCCCACTGCTCCCCTCAGCAGTGTACTTCGGTCCTTCTGCCTGTTCTGCTCCCTGCTCTGGCTCTGCTGAATTCTCTCACCCTCCCGCGCTTCTGACTGTACCCAGTGCTTGTATAAATAAATAAATAAATCTTTAAAAAAAAAAAGAAGAAGAAAAATATACTGGTATCTCAAGAAGTTAAAATGTGATGTTAATTATGTTCATTTTTGGCATTGATTTGTATTGAGTTTTAATAGTTAATTAAAAGCCTGCCATATCAATAGGCTGAAAGTGCTGTCAAGCAGGACCTTTTTTCATCTACTATTCCAGATGAATTGTTTGTTTTCATTGTTTTTACTCTAGCCTAAGACATTTGTGTAGGCAGTTTTCTAAAATGGCCATAAGTTTCATTTACTAACATACCTTTATTATTATATAATCTGGTTATTGATATTATGGTTCTTGGCATTGTACATAGCAGCTAATAGAATTCATTGTCTTAATCATTTTTTTCTGCTGAGTTTCACTACTTTGTCACCACTGTTAGACACAATAATAGGGATGTTTTGATCCTGTCCTTTTGTACAGTGCAGGAAAGCATTTTTACCACAATCATCACTTTTTTTTCCACCACCAAGTAATGATGGAACAAGAAAATATTCCTCCCAAATATTTAGTATAGTCTAACTTCATACCACAGAGATTTAACTTAACGAAGGTAACCAGTTAACCTTACCTTTACCTTAAAGTGTGTGATTCTATAATGATTAACTTATATTCATTTTAGTGACCTTTTATAAATTGTTAGAGACTCTGAGAGATACATAGAGAACAACATAGACTAAAATAAGGATCTGTTTTCTTTCAGGTAACAGTTGTGGCTGAAAGGAGATTTCAGAAAGTATCTGAGGATGTTGTTAGCACCACAGTTCATTTTATATGATTGCTGTCATGATCAGTTTTAAAGTGTTAGGCACTCTCAAAGGAAGATGAGCTAGGAGCATATAAGAGTGAAAAAGGGTTCATTTTCTTTCAGGTGAAGATTGTGGATGAACGGAGGTACCGCAAAGTGTTTGAAGATATTGTACGCATCATGGACAGAATGGAAAATGACTTCCTCCCTTCCTTAGAACTCAGCAGGAGGGAGGTGAGCAAAAGCACATGGCTGCCCATTGTGTTCAGCAAAAGGGCAAGCCGTGTTTGTACAGAAGGCAACACAGCAACGTGGAAGATAGTGTTTGGTGAATTCAAACTGCCTCCACCCCAATCCCAGCACCATCATTTTAGTAGCTATAACACCACAGGCGAATGTCTTACCCGCTCAGAGCCATGGTTGCCTCTTTGGATAAAGGGATGGTGGTGATGATAGCATCAGTCAGCACATACAAAACTCTTAGAACAGTGCCTGACACGTAGTCAGCCTTCAGATGTTAGCTGCTCTTTAATAATTCAGAGTTGCTGGTCAGTCCATATCTCAGGACCCAGGACTTGGTCACAGGCTGCATACCCTGACCCAAGGTTGTGTTGTCCTCTTAGGATCCCAGGGACAATGAGAGTACTTTAGGGAAGTGGCAGGAGCCACCTAACTCCTCGGCTGGTGTGAGTGTAATAACATAAGAGCAGATGGTGGACAGCTGACTCAGTTGGTGAATGCATACGGCAACTGCACCCCTAGTTAATAATTATCTTATTCTTTATTCATATTCTCTATGGAATAATCCAACTGACTTACTTCCCCTACTAGTGATGCATGTTTGTGTCTGTCTGTTATTCCCCAGTTTGTGTTTGAGAATGTGAAGTTTCGGCAACTACAAAAGGAGAAGTTCCAGATCAGCAACAATGGACAGGTTCCCTGCCATTTTTCTTTCATCCCTAAACTTAATGACAGCCAGTACTGCAAGCCATGGCTTCGGGCTGAACCTTTTGAGGGCTACTTGGAGCCAAGTGAGTGTTCCCTTTGCTGTTGTCTCTGCTCACTATGTGCCGTCTCCTCTTGACTCCCATCCACTCCCTTTAACTCCTTGTTTTCTAACCACACGTCTCTTACCTTCACTGTCCTATTGGGGATAGCCCTGTTGTGTGTCCACTCTCTCCTTCATCACTCAGTGGTTTTGTAGAGGATACTCCTGTTGGTTCCCATCCCCTTTTTGCTTTTCCACTAGAAGGTTCTCCTACCATGTGACATATTTTCCCTTTCAGATGAGACAGTAGATATTTCCCTTGACGTGTACGTCAGCAAGGACTCTGTGACGATCCTGAACTCTGGGGAAGATAAGATTGAAGATATTCTTGTCCTTCACCTGGATCGAGGCAAAGATTACTTCTTGACCATCAGTGGCAATTACCTGCCCAGTTGTTTTGGTACATCCTTAGAGGCTTTATGCCGAATGAAAAGGCCAATCCGAGAAGTTCCCGTTACCAAACTCATAGACTTGGTAAGAGACATCCTAAGACATGAGGTTCCCTTAGATGAAGCTTCAGCCATACTTGACTGGTGCTTTTGTTGTGGTGGTGCTGGGGGTGGGGGTGTGCTATCAGTGACAGATAAGAATGACACTTCACTGTACTCTGCTTTGATTAGATTAAACCTAAAAGGGAAGTAGAGCGGGTACATTTGGAGTTAGCTCTTGACTGGAATATAATAGGTATTACTAAATTCACAGAATTGGATTAATGACTCCCTTCTCTAAGGTAGAATGCTTATTTGTTATACTCTTCTCATACTTTGAGAAGAGTTGTGTATAAATTAGCATGTATGTGAGGTACGTGAGCAGGAGAGACAGTATTATCCTCATAAACATATGAGAAAACTGAGGCACAGAGACAACTTGCCCAGAGCGGACTTGGGTAGCAACAAATCCATCCCCCAGATTTTCTGACTCCCAATCCAGTACTCCTCACTACACATCATCATATTTGATCAAAGTAAAACTTAGTTGCTTGCTGCAGCACAGACCTATAAGTGCATCTTAGTGTCCCTACCTCAGAACCCTCAGGTTCTCACACAAATACAGACTGTATCAGCAGCCCAGTGGTTGTAATGCACACTGACATTTGATACATGTTTAATGTGACTCACTAATGAAAAGAAAGGACTTCCCCACCTCACCCCCACACCAAGCTGTAACATCGGTGTCCTTCTAGGACAAATGTTAATTATCTTCCATAACATAAATTGATTTTGTATCCTATTAAGAACTTTTGAGTTTGTGTGCAGACCTCTTTGGGCTATAAAAATAAATTCCTCATCTCTTTCCAAAGAAAATGAGGAGAGGTGATAGCTGTAATTATCATTTGTGTTCACATTGAGCCTTTGGGCCTAGCCAGAGTGGTGACTGTGCCATCTAGCAGGGAGGGCTAGATCAGCGGGCAGGCTTTTGGCTTGCCTGAGGGTGATCTGTTCTGTTGCCATGGAATTGTTTTAGCTATGACTCAGATGGCAGATTAAAACACTTGAGCCCAGGCCCAGCATTCTTTCTTGGAATTATGCTAGCTTCCCTAGAGCCCTTGTGACTGAACGTATTACCTCTCTGAGAGAGAACCATTTTCTTCAGAAATTCATATCCTAAACATTGTTATTTTTCATGACACTTGTTTTTTCACCTGCCACTGTGTTCCTGTCTTTCACATTTATTATTGTACCTTTCAGAATATGTTCTAAATGAAGTGGTTTTCTTTCCATCCCAAGCACCATTTCCCAGCTTTCGCTTTTCCAGTCAAGGGTTCACCATATCCTAAATTTGTCTGATTGTGTCCTCTTGATAATTTTCAAAATTTATTCCTTCGTCTTCCCTCCTCCCACCTATCTTCTAGAAACTGGAGCCTAGTTTTACTTTTGGTCAGTTGGCCACACATTATAATACTCTTTGCTGTAATTGGCCTATATTAAAGTAACTGGAAGGAAGATCAACCATCATAAAAAAATCTTTTATTTAATATATTATCAGGTAATTCAACCATGTTTGAGAATGAATAGGAATGCCTCAAAATTTTCAGTGTCTTTAATGGCTCTGAGTAAGCCCTTTTTCTTTTTTTTGTGTACAAATGATTTAAAATTTGAAAGAATAGAATCTGGATCATTTTCTCATTACAAAATCCTGAGATCTTGTTAAATTGTGTGCGTGTGCTCATCATTCTTTCAAAACTTTTATTTTGTAGGATTTAGAATTCTGGTTCTGTTGCATTTCAGTGTTAAATTCCTGCGTGTCATTGATGAGGAAATTATCCAGTTAGTGTAGGGCAATAAACAAGAAGTCTAAGGTTGTCCATACCCCATTCATCATACCTTCTCACCCTATTTTGACTTGATTTTGACTTTCTGAAATGCTTTCTTGGCTTTGTTTATTCCCAGACCCAAGATGATAGTTTAAATCCATGAGACGATGCTGTGAACAATGGTACCAGTTATCCTCTGTTGTGTTACTTACTCTAAAATTTGGGGGAAACTAGAAATGACTTCAGTGCTGTTGTTGACGCTCCATGTACTGCGTCCGAAAGAGTCTCGTGCTACACTGCCTTCCTGCCAAATGCAGAATGAAATAACTAGCATAAAGCCTTTTCATTCTTCCTGTCCTCAATGACAGTGACTTTGCCACTCCCAGAATAGCTGGGGTTAGCACAAGTGACCGAGGAGAATCTGTAATGATCTTTATCCTTTTTCAGAATTTAGATTATTTTTTCTGAGCAGTTAACTACCATATTAAGTAGCAGATAGTCATCAATGTTCATTACATATTGGATATAAAGTATTATGGAGTTTATGTGGGTTCCTGCAATTTAGTGATAATGAGAATTTACTTGTCTGTACAATATGGCTAAATGCTAAATCATGGTTAATAGGGTATTTGGTTAGAAATAATCTAAACTTTAACCACCTTTACTAGCTAATGTCCAGTGTGTTTGGTAAGCTATTATTTTGGAATGTCATTGAGAGTGAAAGTTATGGAGCTTATAATTTGTATTAACAATAGATTCCTTTCCAGTGCTGTTTACTGAAGCCCTTATATGCTATAAAAGCTTATTGATTGTCCAACCAATCTCTGTAAAAATCAATGGCAGAATCGAATCAGCCTATTTTGGCTTTAATGAATATTTGATTCTTGTAACATTAACATGACTAGAAATAAGTTCAGCACATAAGAATAAAATGAACTGACAAAGTTATTTGGGTTCATCACAGAAGTATTTTGAGTCAAGTACTTAAGAAACATGTATTACTATATTGGGTGAACAAGCTCTTCTAGATATAAGGGATGTTGTGAATAAAGGTTAGAAGGTGAAAATAAAAAGACCATGTATGAAAAATCATAAGATTTCCCTAGGAAGAGCAAAGATTAAGGATTAGAGTGTGCCAGGCTGGTTAGGTAGGATAGGGATGGGGGACAGAGAGTCTCAAAATCAACCGAGGAATTTATAGTGGCGGCAGAGGGCATCAAGAATCATCAGAAGACTTGGATGAGTAGTATGAGGCTGTAAATTGATACATTTGGAGACTGGGCTGATAGCGAGGAGATCAGGTTTGAACTTGCCAGATCTGATTAAAGGTTTTACTTATAATTATAGAGATGATAAAAGTTGAGGAATGAATGGACAAACTGTCATTACTTGGGGACATGTCTACTAGGAGAACTATGTCAAAAATTGGAAATAAGAATGACAACTTGGTATTTATACCAATTGATCCCCAGTACCATTTCTTAACTTGTTAGGTATATAGTTTATTTTTTCTCTTTGTATTTCACAAGAAATGATCCTTACTACCCCTTTAGTATCTGTTGAGTTTGCTTTTTATTTTATTATATCTTTGGTTAAAGATTTATTTATTTTTATACAAGAGCTGGGGTACAGGCCAGAGGCACAGGAGGGTAAGAGGATTCACCGGAGGCAGAGCAGGGAGCAGAACAGGCAGACTGATGAAATACATTGCTGAGGGGAGCAGCGGGCTCGACCTGAGAGGTCTGCTGCACCGTGTGGGATTCTTGCCGGCCGGCCGGGATTGAACCCACACTGCTGGGGCTGCGGACAGCTTCACAGTGCAGCGCTCAACCTGCTGCACCAGCGGGGAGGCCCTGCTTTTTATTTTTTAATTTGAATGTTTCTAAATGAATTTTAAATTTTATTTTAGGTGCATTTGCTACTGGGAAAACTCTTCTAAGTGTGAATGTTGGGGTCAAGAATGATTTGCATTGCATTTATTGTGTGCCATTGTGCCCCACTGGGCAAATCTGGACTAGGTTCCCTTCTTTCTTTATTTTTTTTTCTTTTTTCTTTTTTTTTTTATTTAATAAATTTTATTTTTATATTCCCCATACAATTGCAACCCCCTTAAAAGTGACCAGTGCCTGGTCTTTTGCAGAGATTGGGCAGGTCAGTTGATTAGCAGTAACCTTAGTATTACCTTAGGAGATGCTGTTTATTAGTGGAAGGCTAAGTGGTGTTTCTATTTTCAGAGTTAAGCCTAGTGTTGAAATAAATGTAATTTGCATCTATTAACCTTATGCCTGTAGCTGGAGAAGTAAACTGTCAATGTAAGTCTGTTGCTCCTCGAGCAATATTTAATCAAAGGCCTGATTCTTCTTTCAGATTTTTCTTTTGTGTCCATTTTTAAAAAATGTTATTTTCTCACTATTGAGGTCTTCTCTCTTCTGCTTGTCCTACCTTGATAGCTTTAAATGACACCCTTTGCCACTATCTCTACCCTTCCATTTTTCCTCTTCAGGGCTGTCAGATCTTTAATACAGGTTGAGGCCTTTCACGTCCTTGCTCAAAAGTAGTCAGTGGCTCCCTCATGCCTATTGGACACAATCCAGATTGCTTTATTGTCATTCAAGGCCCCCTTAAATCTGACTTCAACACATCTTTTCAGATTTAATCCCCACAATTTTTACTCTCCGTCACGCTCCCCACAAAGCAGATGACTATCTTTTCTCTAGTTCCTTCCACCTCATGGTTTACCTTCTCTGCATCTCTGTCTACTTCTGCCCCTTCCACTTGTAGTGTCCCCTCCCCATCTCTACCCTTTAAAATCCCAGGCCTTCTTTAAGGGCTAGTTGGGTCACGTCTCCATTGTGAAAAGTCCCCCTGACAGTCCCAGCTGAAAGCCATTTCTCCTTTTGAACCCTGTCTTGTTTTTGTTTGTTTTCACCATTTACTGAGAACTTAAAATCATGATAAATTATGATTCCTCACCCTAGTTCAGCTGCAAGCCCAAGTCAGGGACCATGTCTTGCTCCTTTATGAATCATATCTCCTTCCCCACTCCCCAGAGGTGTTTAGCACAATGCTTTGTACTGGTGGATGGTCCCTGTTTAAAGAATACTTTCTTGAGGACCTGATTTGACAGGCTAGTATATAAAAATTTTGCCTAGTTTTACTCATCATATCATGTGGCCTGGTATTCATGGGAGGCAAAATAGAGAAGTCTGTCAGATAGGCAGGTTCTCTGTTAATAAGTAGTCTTAAATTTTTAAAAACAGTTGCATTCCAAAATCGTGGTAAATGAGATGTTTGACACAACTAATTTTCATGTTAAAAAATATTGTAATTACAGTACTATAAACACTGTGTACTTTATAAAGCCCTGTTACTCTGATTATTTTTATTTCATCTTATATGTGGTATTTCAAAGTCTAGGTCAACCCACAAAAACATGTTTAATTCATAATGTATCTAATATTACTGAAAAACCTCCTCACCTTACATAACTGTCATGTGGGGGGATGTCAGGGAATACATACTCCCCTGGCCCCAGCCCCCCGCAGCTCGCTAACAGTAAAATCAGGATTTCTCCTTTTACTATCAGACCTGAGAAGGGTTATTTATCCTTAAGTTCTTGGAGTTATTCTGAACCCAAGGCAGGGCTGGGAAGATTCCAGTGGGGAGTTGCTGAAGAGGTATGAGGAGCTTGTGAGGGGTACAGGCCTTTTGCTGGCATATTACACCACCCCTGCTGCCTCCCCTGGGTTTTAGGCTGCTCCCCTGCCCTTATGAGGTAATTGCCATCCCTGTGTTAGAGATGACAAAATTGAGGTGAACTTACTAATTTGCCTGAGGTCTGTAAAAAATTAATGAGACAGAATGAAGATTTGTACTGTTTACCACCAACGCCAGTACTCTTCCCATTAACCACACCGCCTTATAACTGGGTTTCTTACTGTCTTCAACCAGCTGTGGGGTAGAGTACATTCTCACAGCTTTCCCTGTCTTTGTCCAGAAAGCAGGCAGATTGTCTTTGTTGAGTGGTGTCAGGGGACATAGGTAACAGCTGTGGAGTCAGTCAGACCGAGTTGTAATCCTGATTTTGCCACCTTGGGCAAGTAATCTAAACTCTCAGCCTCAGTTTCCTCATCTGTAAAATGGGAATAATACCTACTTGGCAGACTTAGTGACATTGTATGTGACCACTTGGCACGGTTTCCCCACTTCATGGCAGGCGCTGGTAGTAGTTGTTGTTGCTGTCATTGTTATTGGGTTGTAATAATAGCATGAGACAGAGACTGTTAAAAAAAAAAGGTACTTTCTTCCCTCTCCCCTGGTTCTCTTTTTTCTTTTACACCCTATAAGAAAACACAGTAGGGGATACCATGGATCTTCTGATCCGCAATGGCCTGAAATGAAACTCCTTTATACTGCAGAGGGGCTTCCAAATATGAGGACTTCTAGGGGCCTCTAAAGAGGGGAGTGGGTATGGTGAGACAGAAGGGAACAGGAGGCCAGCAAGGGTAAGAGATAGGAGACAAGCTTGCCACCTCCTGCCACATGTCAGGCTCACAGCCATATTTTTCCATTGAAGTGGCATCAGAGTGAGATGAGAAGCCACACACAGCAGCAGCAGAGCCTGCCTCCAAGCAGCACGTGAAAAGGACATCAGTGGGCATTTGGCCAGGTCAGGTGGCAGCTGCCAAAGGACACAAGAGTCTAGGACTGCACATTTCTCTTCTTTAGTGCTAGTCTTGATAAACCACGCAAAATTAAATGTGTACAATAGAAATTTTACATGTGACTGTGTTCCCAAATTTTGAACAATCATGATTTATTTGAAGAAGTTAAAGCTGTTTAAAACATATGTATCTAGTGAGCTAGTGGGTTCTAATAATAGTGATCTGTTTCTAATTCTATAAAGTAATACTAATCATTTTCTATCTATCAATGACTTTCTTTCCCTGCTCTGCTCTCAGGAAGAAGACAGCTTCCTAGAAAAGGTAATGAAATGCATTGGTGGCTATGAGTTCCCCGGTGCTTGATTAACACTTAACTGTGGTCCCTGGAATTTCTCCTTTCGCTTTTCTATATCAGAGACCTCTAGCTCCAAGACAGAACCCTCCGTTGTCTTGCCAGGAAAGATACTTACCGCACTGGTCAAGTCAAGGAGACCCCGTACATAAAAGCAGCACGACTCAAGGTTCCGGATCTATATCCTGCCGGCTGTGCTTAAGTGTGTCTGAGGCACAGGATAGAGACTGCATTCGTGAAGTCATTGAGACCCAGTACATACCAGCAATAGGACTCAAGGTTCCAGATCTGTATTTCTGAAATAAAAACTCCTTAAAGAGCTGTTTTGACATATATGAAAATCTCATGAGGTGGAGGAAGGTGCTGCGTAGCTATCATCCATTTCCAATGATAGTAAAACCAGAAGTGGATTTCTCTTGCATTGAGAGTGATGTGGGCGTTAGTGATTAATTACTGAAATAACACCAGATGTGGTCCAGAAACAGCACAGAGTAGAATCGGAATGAGATCGTACTGAATGAGATTGTAAGGATCATGTGTTCCAGCTCTCTGCCTCCAGACAGGGTATGGTATTTTCTCCATTCTGAGAAACAAGACAGCAAAGCTCAGGAACATGGGAAGAGGGATCTAGAACTGGGACTCCTGAATGGCTAGTGAAGGAACCCGATGGACACACTCCTTCGGTAGCGCCCCATCACCTGTGTGTCCTCATTCCACCGGGAGAATGCCCGGCTGCACACTGGGAGAGCTGTCAGGTAGAGAAACATGGGCTTGAGAAACATTCTTAAAGCACTTTCACACAGTACCTCACCTGACCTCCCCAGCTGGTGGAGCACAGTACATTCTGGTGATGGGGTTGCAGTCATGTTTGTGTGCTTTAGCTTTTAGTACTAGGCTTACAAAGTAGGTCCTTCGGAGGCACTGGATATACCTTGTTGAAAGAAGACAAAGTGTGCCTGGTTTCTCTTGGAAAACTAGAGTAAGTTGTAGGCTTTGTCAAAAGTATTGTTTCTTGTGCGTGATCTTCCTCTAGACTTCAGAGATGCATGTAGGACATTTTGTATTATCACATGTGAATTTGAAAATGGATAGTGGGTGGTGTATATAATCTACTGACAATTTATTAACCTTTTTAAACCTCTAAGGATTGAGATGGCTCTGCTTCCCATCCCTTCCCTGTTAATTGCAGGCTGTGTTCTGTCTTTTCATCTTAGATAGTGCCTTGTGTGGCCTTCATGCCTTATTCCAGGCAGAGCACCAATTGGATGTCAGATTTTTTTTTAAGTGCATGAGTCAGTGCTAAATAATTTATATATAGTAAGTTTGGAGGTATCCACTGAAGAATCTATATATGTGTTCCATTTGGTCCAGAAAGTTAGCCCAGTGCATTATAGACAGTGTTTTGGCTCAGAGTACATGTAGATGCCTGGATATAATACTTGCAACTGGAAAGAAGCTGGTGGATAAGTGACTGACAATTCTGGCATCTATAGGAACGTGAATATTAGGTGATAGAATCCCAGGGATAGAAAGAAAGGAAGCAAAACAAATCTAAAGAAAATAGATTTTTAAATGGTTAACCAACCCATCATGCTCCCTTCTCTTCTTCATTCCCTTAGAAAGGCACAGCAGCTCTAAAAGGTCACCCGAGCTCATTGAAGAACATAATGTTAAAAAGAGCCCTCTGCTGTGCTCTAGTGTACACTGTCTTGAAAAAGTGAAATGTTTCTTTTCTTTCCCTTAAAGTGACATGGCTGGGGATTGTGGATGGAATTTATACAGTTTTCTAAAGGTGGACATACATGATATATAACTTAGCAGGAGATGGGAGGGATATATTTTCTCCACTAGTATTTTTCTGGGGGCTGTCTTCAGATGCCCTGTAACCTATCCTAGACATATTGTTGATATACTTTAAACTTTACTATGTAAACAAAATAAATGCATTTATTCCTTAGCTATTTTCAAGTTCAAATTAAGTGACTTGTGTCACTTCTGGGTTTTTCTCTTAAGAGTCTTTTAGGAGACTTGAACAGAAAGTAGAAAGATAGGTGAAAGGAGTCAGAGCTTCTCGAAATCTTTGTTGAGCTATTAATATAATGAATAATTTCAGGACTCACATTCTAGAACTTTCCAGTGTTTCTGGCACTTGGCATGCCATACCCAGTTTACTATTTTTAGATCTTAAGGTTTATGAGTTTTAGTGCCTTAAGATTAGACCTTATATCAAGTTTGAAGTATTCATGAATGTAGCTCTAACATGGAGTATTGTCTCTTACTTCTGAGGGCCAAAGAATCTCATCTCAGTTTTTGTGGTAAGACCTGAGAGAAGAGTAAGTTAAAACTCAACGAAAGCCTGAGTGTAGGTGCTGGTCTCTGAAGTGCTGTATCGACGATCATAATTGTCCCTGGTGGTGTGTGGACTCTACCGTGACTGCAGTGCTGATTCTCTGTCACCCTTGAAAGGATTTACACCACACAATACAAGCGCGAGATAAACACGATAAACTCAAATGAAATGCTTGATGGTTCAGTGAAGCATCCAGAAAAGGAGATCCTTTCAACTGTGGGAATAAGTATCTAGTGCCTTCTGACCAGGAATGCCCCCAGGACAAAAAAATGAAAAATCTTAACGTATGAAGCTCTAATGATACCCACCTAAGAATTTGAAGACAGTTAAGTTACACACAGGTGTAAACCTTTACCTCCAAATCATATATACAACCAACCAGTGTTGTTAACCACCAGCAACAAATAATAATAATAATTAATTTTTAAAATTTTTATCCTGAGACCCATTTGATTCTCATCCCTCTTCATCTATTAGGAGAAATCCCTTCTGCAGATGGTTCCCTTGGATGAAGGTGCCAGTGAGAGACCCCTTCAGGTCCCAAAGGAGATCTGGCTTCTGGTAGATCACTTATTCAGATACGCCTGTCACCAGGTAAGGGGAAGTGGGCCTGCTCTGAAACTTTGGGAGGTGTGTGAGTCCATTGAGAAATGATAATACCTCACATCAGTATAGTGCTTTTAATATTCCCAAGCTGCCCTCACGTGGCAGCACTGTCAGGCAGGCTGGGCAGATGGAACTATCCCTATCGGCAGATGTGGGAGCTGAAGCCTGCAGGCTAAGTGATTTACCTAAGCCCACAGCATAACCGTAGGCAGGGCCCAGGGGGAGCACACCTGTCTCCTGGCTACATACAACTTCCCCTGCGAACCTGAATCTGTAATGCCGGCTTTAGCTTTAGCTGTCACATGGACATTGCAGATTTTAAAGTCCAAGCCCATTTCTTGAACCTGGTTCTCTTAAATCCTGTGTAAAATACTCCAACCCATTCCCCCCCAAGATAGAATTTCTTGTGACCAAATTGAAGGATAATGTTTTCTTATCTACGAAAGAGTAATATAATTTGAAAGCAGGATTCAGACACGCCATTAACTCTTACCCTGGCATCCTGTAATATTTGAGTACAAGTCTCCTGATCGGATTGCCTTCTTCTACTTGGCAAGGGCCTAGAAGTAGGAACACCCGGAATCCCCAGCTGACCATCTATCCCCCTGCTGTAACAGGGGTAGGTTAAAAATCTTTGAAAGTAATTTTCTGATTTGAATTAAAATTCTGCGTAGATTATGGAGACGATCAAGGAAAAAAGGTGCCACTTCCATACCTCCATGCCTAACCACAAATATGCATGCTGTCCCCCCACACCCCCCTTTGCTTCCCACTGCTCTCCTGATCCCTGGGCAGAGTACAGAACCTTCGGGCTCATTATCATGCCTTGTCCCTTCATTGTAACCTCTCTGGTAGGAGGACCTATTTCAAACCCCTGGAATGCAAGAGGAGTTGCAGCAGATCATTGACTGTCTGGACACCAGCATTCCCGAGACAATCCGTATCTTTTTCAACAAAGCCTAAGGAAGCTGGCTGGGTACTTGGCCAAATTCTTCCCGCTTACTTTCAATTTTTGTGTTTCCATCCTTATTCTCTTCATAAATGTCTGTTATTGTATAGTACTCGTCGACTGAACAGTTGTTTCTCAGTTCTTTTCAGGAACTTTTGACCTCTCTCTGTGTCAGCCTTTCACTAAAGGGAACTAAGTGGTGGGCAACCACGGCTTTCACAGGCACAGAGCTGGAGCTGCAGTGCTATGCTCTTCTGCCGCTGGCCGGGGGTCGCACCTGCGGCCATACCTGCTCACTGGGGCAGGGAGGAGGAGGGGCCATGCCGGCATCTGGTTTTAAGGACTGACCCTGTGTGAAGTGTCATTCTGCAGGTTCTCACCCCCTGGCTCTCAAGGTGGGCCGAACCCCCCTTTTCTCTAACTCAGCTGCAGCGTACCTACACCCATGAAATACCACACCTCAGTCAGGGTCAGAGTGCCAAAAAAGAGGAAGGAAAGAGGTAGTGAGGGGTCCTGGGGGAGGGAGCAAATCAGGTGTCTGCCTAGTCTTTCCCCTGGAGCCTCTTTCCCTTGACGTCAGCTTCCGCAGCTGGCAGCAATCACTCTGTGGCCGAGGCGCTGCTTATTTTCCTGGAAGCCCTGCCAGAGCCCGTCATCTGTTACGAGCTGTATCAACGATGCCTTGACTCTGCTCAGGATCCCCGGGTCTGCCGACAGGTGAGTTTTCTTGCTCTGAGGAGGTGTCCGGGACAGCTTTCTTATAGATAAATTGTCATTTGACAATGCCAGATAGGCAGCCAGCCATGTCTGGATGTGTTACTCGGGGCAGGACACCAGCCTTGAGAGTTAGGATCCTTAATTTTTTTTAAAGATTTATTTATTTATTTATACAAGTGCTGGGTACAGTCAGAAGTGCGGGAGGGTGAGAGAATTCACCAGAGCCAGAGCAGGGAGCAGAGCAGGCAGACTGATGAAATACACTGCTTAGGGGAGCAGCAGGTGTGGCAGGAGAGGGCTGCGCACCATGTGGGACCCTCCCAGTTGTCATTTGGCAGGTATTTGCTGGGGTCCTGTGAGAGCTGGCTTGTGCACTACTTTGCAAGCAGCTGTAAGGTCTTAGTCCCTTCTCACTGCTTACTGCCACCCCCATTTTTAAAAAACAGGTGATTTCCCAGCTTCCAAGATGCCATAGAAATGTTTTCCGTTACTTGATGGCATTTCTTCGAGAACTCTTAAAATTCTCGGAATACAACAATGTCAGCACCAATATGATAGGTAAGAGCGCTTCGTAGAAACAGGGTGTGGGTGTGGGTGTGGTTGGTGGGGACAGTCTGTGTACGGTGTCCCAAGTGTATACCTTCCTTAGTGATCAGGCTCATGGCTGTCACTTCCTGCGTGCTGCCCTCATCCCCTGCCCCCCCACCAACCCCAGCCCTGAGGCTTTGCTTAGGTTGTGTCTGACAAGGGGCTTCCCCTTTTCTTTCTTTCACCCTCTAGCTACTCTCTTCACTAGTCTTCTCCTAAGGCCTCCACCCAACCTCATGGCAAAACAGACTCCAAGCGACCGCCAGCGTGCTATTCAGTTCCTTCTGGGCTTTCTCCTTGCAAGCGATGAAGACTAAGCGTTTTCCTCTTACTGCTCCCCGAGATTCTAGAGGCAGAAGATCTTGGGCACCAAGTATTTCACAGTGATTTGAAAAGTCATGCCACAGGAGGAGTCTATTGCAGAATTTCAAGAGTGTTGGCATGAAAAAACTCTGTTCCTAGTGCAAAAGGAAGCGAGTTCCTTAACCCCTCCTTCACCTTATCCTACATAGCAAAATACTTTTAGACTTATATTGCCAAGCCAAAGTTAACATATTTTGGTGTTTTCGTGTTTTCTCTTTTTAAGGCAAAGAGGTTTGTATTTATACTCCCCCACCTGCGGATGTGTTTGCTGCCCTCCTGCCCAGCTATCAGATTATCCTTTGCACCCTAGGCCTAGATTCTGAGGTTTTCCCATTTTAGGCCTAAAGCACTACTTGCTATAGCTCAGACTTGTCTGTAGTCCTTCGTCTAAAGCACTTTTGCCCCAGTCCCACCTTGTATGCCCCCTTTGCACTCCACTCCGCTAGTACCATCACGTCGAAGGAAGTCTGGGTCAGGCTAGTGACTCCTGGGGTGTCCCTGATAGCGACTTAGCTGTCTCTATGTGGTTGTCACTTGCCTTTGTGCTACTCCAGTGGCATCTGTGTGTCTCTAACATTGGCCTTTCCATGGATCTGCACTGGGTGCACGCATATCCTCTAGGCAGTCTCTGCTACCCTGTCTGATAGCAGAGCTTTGGGGATGATACAGATAGCACCCCATTGTATAAGAGAATCAATCAGAACGGAAGTACTTTGAGTATTTCAGAAGTGAGAGTAGTCATGTTTGACAGGTCTTGCTTCCTACATCCCTTTCTGTTCTGCAAACTTGTCATGAGACCTTAGCATGGATGTGTTTGCAGCCCATCCCCCACATAGCAACACGCCTCCGGTGCAACCTTGTACCACAGTTGAAAAGCAAGTCTGTGCCTCCAGTTGGCCTCTCTAGGGATGTGGTTCCTTCCCCCAGCAAGGGCATTGAGGATAACCCTTAGAACCCCGTGTCTGGTCTCCTGAAGTATCAGGCAGCAGATGCCACCAAGCTCGCTCCCAGTCACCTCATCCAGTGCTGTGGAAGAGAGACAGAGCAGTGGGCCCAAGCAAAAGCGACTTTTTCACCCACCCATGACAACCCCATGAGCCTTTCCTTTACTCAAGCTCTGGGGCGGCTGGCGGCCTTTTTTTTTTTTTTTTTTTTTGTAATGAATCTGTGTTGGTTGGCAAACCAGCAAGCGTCTGCTGACTGCAAAACCATCGGATGCAATTTGCTTCCTCCTGGTTTTCTTTCTTCAAAACTGCCCTGAGTCGACTAATTCTCTCCTGGTAACATTAACTCTGAGGAGCCTAACAGGCTCTGTGTCTGCCCTCAAGCATTGAGTCCCGACTCTTCTGGCGTATCCGAGGAGAGAGGCCGGCTGTACCACCGCTGAGGGTTCTCCAGGGGTTCTCTTTGTAAGTTGAGTTCTTTGGGGAAAGAAAAGGTATGTATCCTGTGACAGATGAGTAAACCCTTTCCTGAGTGGGAGTTATGGATTTAGGAATCAGGTTACTGGTGCCAAATAGCTGCAGAGGTGATAGATCAGGGGATGGGTGTTGAACTCAGTTAGTAGAAGACTACAAAGCAAACAGTTTAGTCATGTCCACTAGAGATGTCTTCTCCAGGCAGGACGTGGTCACAGCAGAGGCAGTGTAGATGCCGTGGCGAGCTCATCATGCGCAGCCAGGGAAATGCCTTTCCTGGGCACACTCTCTAGTGTATTGCCAACCCGGGACCTTTGGGTGACGAAGGATGTGGTCAGTGGGGGCTGTGTGCAGCATTTTAGCTCTTTCTTCATAAGTCAAATGCACTAAGTTGGTTAACTGCCTCAATCTCTTTACCAGCTCTGGGCCTAAGATGTACAGAGTTGAGGGTTTTAGACAATCTCTAAGGAGGGGAAACAAGAATAGAGCAGACATGACAAATCTGCTTCCCTCCTGTGCCTCCTCCAACACTGCAACCTCTAATTGCAAAGTACCTTTAATGTACTGTTCATACCTCCTCTCTCGCAGGGAGTTCAGATCCAACCAGTAGGGAAGGACTCTGCATTTGTTGTTCTAGGGAAGAGATGGTTCAAACCCACGTGGTGACGTCGCGTTTGTCTCCCTTTCACTGTTTTCTGATTCTTATTCTGTAGTTGTTATATTTCCCCAAAAATGTCCTGGTCACTAAGCAAAGCTGCTAGTGGGATTCTGTATTCTGTGTCATCTTTTTTTTTTATTATAATTTATTGCAATTTTTTCTGAATAAATATATGTTGTGTGAAAAATCAAAGTGTGATCTTGGTGAGGAGGAACTTGAGGAGGGAGGCTTAGGTCGCTGGTCCCACTTGACGGTCGCAGTCCCCACAGCGCTGCCTGTCCTTTCACTTCCTGCCTCATGCGGAAATAGCATTTGTGAGAATTCTCAATTTATTCACCAGCTCGGGTCCTGAGATAGACAGAGTTGAAGGTTTTAGATAATTTCTAAGTAGGGGAAACCAAACAGAGCAGACATAAGAAATATGCTTCCCTCCTCAAGCAGATTGAAATAAGAAGCAGCCGTGACTCCTCCGAGATGAATAACGTCCATGCTTTCAGAGCCCGGCCAAGGAGCCTTATTTTAACCCCAAGGTTTCAGGCAAACAAGTAACTGTCAGGAGAAAGATGTTGATTCTTAATGTGTGCATATGTCACACTAGGTCAGATTGCTCCCACCCCAGCAGTCTGGCAAACCCTAATACACTCATTTTGGGAGAACCCAGCTGTCCTTGTAAATACAGTCTCAGTAGTTTAGACCTGCCCCCGGCCCCAAAGAGCCTGTTTTCACGTCATTCATTTTGCAACTTTTGAAACCCAGGTTTATTAACTCTTGAGATGATGAAGTTCATAGAGTTAACACTGCATGGCAGGGAAAGAGGACGAACTCCAGCACTTGAAGAGGAAACCCCTAACGAGCATGGGGCCATCACTCCCCTGCTGGTCTCTGCTACAAAATTGCATATTCTGGTTCCTTCCCCTTTGGGACTGAAGAGGCCTCAGCTGGAGTTTTCTTCTCAACCAGGGCCCTCTTCCAGGTCCCTCCAACTATGAGCTTGACCCTGATGAATGTGCTGATTCAGTGTTGTCATGAACAGTTTTTCCAGCCCCACCCGCCGCCTTGGCAGAAGAATGTGTTCCCTTTTGAGCGTGATTTCCCCCAGTGGATGGAGACTGACCCCAGCAGTTTTGCACACAGCTGCAATGTGGCAGAACAGCCTCAGTGGCGACCTTTCCTGAAAAGAAACTGCTGCAGGAGCGTCCTTACGGCCTTTCTGACTGCGGGACAAGTTGAAGATCAGCTCCTGGTGTAGCCCGATCCTGAAAGCCCACACTCTGCAGTGGAGTCATGAGTGTCAGTGAGACAACCTTAGTGATCTTATCCAGCCACCCTGGACAAAGGCAGAGTCACGACAACGGGGGACTTGCGGTCACTTAGGGATACCATGACATAGTGCAAAAAAGAGCTCAAGGTTTAGAGGTAGACTGGTTCTTTTTTCCCAACTTCTTATTAAATTTTCGAACAGTCACAAAAGTCAAAAGAGATACAAGGAACAGTCCTTAGCCTGCATTCACCAATGCTTAACATGTTGCCACATGTGTCTTATCACAGCGAGGCCTCGTTTTCAGTCTCACTTCTGCCACTCACTTCCTGGCTGTGTATGACCTTGGACTGGCTAATCTCCGGTTCCCTGGTCTATACAACGGAATGAGCATAGTACCGATCTTACATGGCTTAACTGCATCCACCTCACTTCCCAGTCAAAACCTCAGTGTCTTCCCAGTGCATTTAGAAGAAAATCCAAACTCCCACAGGCCACCAGTCCCATCTGATCCAATGAGAAGGAAATGAAGCAGCAAGCACAGTCCCTGGCACATGGTGGCTGCTACACAGCAGGTCCACGAGAAACATCATTTCATTCAACATTGTTTTGTCGTAACGATGAGAAAAAAAAAAAAAAGAGAATCCTGGCTGAAAATGAATGAAAGGACATTATTCCAGGGCCTGGTTTCATTATACTTTCCTTTGCTTCAAGTCCTAGTTTCCAAGAACCTGCCCATGTTGTTCCATGAGGACGTGCTGTAGATGCTGATCCATCCCCAGCTGCATCCAGCTCGCCACTGTATTACACTTATATTTGCCAGTCTCGGTTCCTCTTCACCAGTAAGAACAGAATTTTGAAGAAAAGGAAAGTAGTGTCACTTATTTGCCGACAAATAAATGTCTGAAAGAGCACCACCCCCTTACTAGCAGAGCATGGGGGTGTAACTAGAGTTGCAAGGACATGAAAGAGGGGAGCACGTTAGGGTCAACACACCCATTCTTGGAAGTGCCTGGTGACTTGGTTGACACCCGCTCATTTTCATCACTGGTGGTCAGCCATTCTTACGTGGCCTTTGCAAGTTTCTGTCCTTGGCTTTGTTTTGAAGTTTCTTTGTAGAAGGTCCTTTGCCCTCAGAATGCAAGGCAAAAAGCACGATGTTAGCTAAACGTACATACCAAGGCTTGGTTAACTTAGAGGGGAAAAGAGTGTTTCTCTCCAAGGTGGGAGAGAGATTGACGTATCACGACTGCCACACTGCCCAAGGCTTTAGGGCTCATTTGCTGTAATGGCCTGGCAGCCAGGAAAAATCGGCCCCCCTGCTCAGCTTACTCCACTTCTCACCTTCCCCTACCACTGGACACACCACTACTACCACTTACTCCACTTCCCACCTTCCCCTACCACTAGACACTTTCGTACTTCTATACTTTCTAGGTTCCAGAGTTTCAGGACAAATCTTTTTGGGAGTGGGGATAAGGGTTCAAATCCCACCTTTGCACATTCTGGATGGATGATCTTGGGCAAAAGTTAGTTTTCCTCTCTGGGCCTCACTTTCCACACCTTAAAATGAAAGTAATAATATTACTTTTCCTCATAGGATCGTCACGAGGGTGAAATCAGCTAACACATTCAAAGGGCTAAGACGCTTGCTTGGTACATAAACGCTAAATACATAGGCGTGAGTATTATCCCCAACCCTCCACTGACCTCAAAGCCCAGAGCCCTCTTCTGCTGCCTCCAATTTCCAGCAGGTGGCTGCAGCCTTTTCTTGGGGAAAAGGTAGAAGTCATCAGTGAAAACGGCCCTCTCAGCATCCTGCCCTGCACAGCCAACGTCTCGAGCTTCACTTCATTCACCCCCTTCCTACTTGTCCCAGAAGTAAGTGATCCTCCTCCGTGCCAGGGCCAGCTCTTCTGCGCTTTCTCAATCCCTCTCCCACCCTCACCGGACTTGTCATCACCCATTAGCCCTCCTCTTGCATCTTATTATCAGCCATTCATTCAACAAGTACTGAGTGTTTCCTGTGAGCCAGGCGCTGTTCAAGGTGCTGGAGATAGAGAAGAAAATGAGATAAGGAGGCTGCTGTAGGGTGCTTCCCTTAGCAGGGAGGCAGCATGGGGTTAACAGACTAGAGATAAACCACACACCATAACTGGATCAGGACAGGTACTCTGGATGGCTTCAGGGCAGGGCTGTGTTCCAGAGAGCAGGCAGCAACACTTGGTCAGGGAAGGCTGCCTCGAGGACATGATGTTTGAGCTGAGGCCTAAATCTCAAAAGACTCTATAGCTTCATTTAAAAAGCCAGCCATGCAGGATAGGGTAGGGAACATTCCTAGCAAAGGAATGATCAAATGTAACGGCCCCAAGGCAGTAAAGCAGCTTGGCAACTGTAGAAGTTCAGGCACAGCTTGATAGGACAGACTAGATAGCTGGACTGCCTAGATTAGCACCCCAGCTCAATCACTTTCTAACTGTAACCATGGAAAATATAGGTGACTTGCCAGTGAGGATAGAGTTGGGGGAGGGGAGTACTGGTCAAGGTCGGGGGTGAAGAGGTTGCCTTTGTCTGACTTGCAGCAGGAAGCCATGGATGATGGACAGGATCTGACGCCTCCCGCTCCCTGTTTGTTCCTTCTCCTAAGCTTAGTAATAATAACTAGGAACTCCAGTCATCGCTGATTCCAGGTGCTGCATTAATACATCGACACCACCTTTAGCCGTGACGAACCGCCTATAAGGGCTGCTTTACCCACTTTCATAGGTAGAAAAATAAATGAGGCTCAAGGAGGCTGCCTAACAGGATACTTGTCTGGCAGCAGATCAGGATGACCCCAGACCATAATCTGCGGTCTTAAACACAGGTGCTGTCTCCACTGCTGGAGCAGGCCTGAAGGTGGGAATGCTGCTTAGAAGTCCTCTCTTCAAGCCTCACCCCAGGATTTCGAGTCAGGTAAGGGACCTGCCAACAGCTCAAACTCAACCTGCCTTTGACCCTGACCAGCTTTTTCTCTCCCATTAGCCAGCTGTGAACCCTTCATTATTTTTGGTGTCTGCCCCACTTCTAATCAGTCACCAATTATAATTCAACAAATATTTGTCAAGCACCTGCAACATGTAGGCCCCTCTGCAAGGCTCTGAAGGAAACTAAAGTGAATAAGACTGATCATCACAAGACAAGACTCTTACATGTAAATTTTTTTAAGAGAAGGAGGGAGGGAGAGGACGGGAGGAAATTGGATGGAACAGTCACATGAAAGGGACCAAGGTCAGATGTTCACAGTCTCCTCCTTCCTTCAAATTCAGACCCTCATTATCTTAGGCCTGGGGTATCCCTTTTAATCCCTTTCTTACTAGTTTCTCAACTTCCAGTTCCTCGCCCTTTATTCTATCCTACACATCACTCCTGCACTAATCTCCCCCACTACACTGCTTTGATGTCACACCCCTAATCAAAATCCCTCTGCTCTCCCGCTTTCCACAGAACTTCCCATTCGGCCTGGTCCAATTCAGAGCAGGCCTTAAAAGTGCTCATTATAGAGAGTCTCTTCCACCCACCTTTCCAGCCAAATTTCCCATACGACCTCAGGCCCTCCCCTTCCTAAAAAAGTACACAGCCCACTTTGGCTCAGTCTAGGCCAGCCACCTGGAACTCCTCCACCCTCCCAAACCCTATCAAACCCAAATGTCACCTCTTCCAGGAAGCCTTTGCCCAAGGCTCTCACCTTCCTTGAACAATTAGCACCTTCCTTTTGCACCATTATTTTAACACATCACACACAAGAAAGGTGTTGTTGCCCTTTGAACTAGAAGCATCACAGGAGTGGAAACCAAGCCGGACATATTCTGCCCCATCTCCATGCCTGCTTGTCCAGGAGCAAATGAATGTCACCTTTCTAGAAATATGGCAATATGT